GCGCTGCGACACATTGACGCCAAAACTGGATTTGTGGAGCAATCAGACTGAAAGATGAGGCAAAACACTCTTGAATCCAGTGCGATCAAGGAAAAATTTCAACATTACCATCCTTTGGACTGGGTTCGCTGAACTAATGAAATCAGGTATCCATCACGAGGAGTGAAGCTGTTGCCTTCAAGTCAAACCAAAAATCTCATCATCCATATCGCTGTTATTTATTTAACTTTTTCATAGAATCAGTAACTACCGATAAGTCGTGACAGGCATCATCAAACGTAGGATGGACAAATAACTTAAACCAAGTAAAATCCGTTCTCCGAATTATCCGCGTTATGAACGCAAGTCGACGTTCCTAGAGCATCCTCATTTTCCATTTTCATCCCCACCATCGCATCGTAGTAACTGTACCATCGAATCACCCGAGCGGATTCTTAGACTTGACGCAGGTAGTTCAGCAAAACCCTGTTTGTAATTCTTGACATCCAATTGTTGTCCCTCATGCAAGCCAAATGGCTTGCCCATCTTCACTTGGCATCACACAAGACGGAAATAGCGTCTGTTAACCAGTCCGTTGCGGAATTTGTGCGCTTGGAACATGATTCTGGAAGGACACCTTTCACATGCTTCGCTCAATAACTCTTAACGGCTTAACCACCAGTTTATTCTCCTCCACTTTAGTAGCATACCAACATTCAGCCAATCTCCAACTAGTCAAAAGTCAGGAACAAGCCGGTTGGTTTTCGAACACTGTTTTCTACTATCGACCATTTGCATGTAGTCCAGCAGTTGATACAAACAGGATTTATGTAATGCGTATGTAACGCGTTAAACAAAGCCGTCAATTCAATGGAATCGAATGACTTTTTGTAATCGACAAAAGCAACACAGAGTTGCACATGATTTTCGCTGCATTTCTCTGTCAGCTACTGGGCAACATGCACAAGGTCAATGGTATAAAACCAGCTTGTTCCCGACTTGTGACTAGTTTGAAGTCTTTCCAAATACGGTTGACAATGATGTCGGTGAAAGCTTTGTCGACTGGCAATAGAAGTGCAGTTGAATGACAGTTCATGACATCTTCAGAGACGCTTTTCTTCATTAGAAGAACAGGTTTTTTTGTGTCTTCCACGCTTTAGACATCTTGCTCAGTCTGATGCATTCCATAAAAGGTTTGGCAGACGCTGATAAACAAGATTGCTCCTAGAGCTTTTAGATGCTGTGGTCTTCTCTCGTCTTTGTTTCGACGTTTGCATTTTTAATGTTTCTGAATGCCCACTCAACTTCGTCACAGGTAACTTCGGGAACGGATTCTGCGGCAACTTGTGGCACCAGGTTCACGCCTACTTTGGAAGAGAACAGGTTGCTGTAGAACTCTGCGCAGATCCCGTTAATCCAAATCCAACTGCGAAGTTTTTACCTCTCCTTCACCTTACAGCGCATCTAGAATGCTTTGCCGTTGTTTCAGACGAATATCCTGTTCCACAGCTTTGAGGCTTGTCTTCCTCTCCGTAGGCTTTCTTAATCGTATTCACCTGTAACCGAGAGTAAACCCTCAATTTCTTCCTATCTCTGCAGAGTGCAGAGATATATGTAATTGATTTTCCCTTCAGCCTTCAGTTGGGCTTTTCTTACTATTAGCTGCCTTGTTGAAAGGCTAATACGTTGGATTATCGGTGACTGCTGTACGGCATGAAGTTTTAACGGCAATTTTGATGGCATTTACAAAATGCTCATAATCCGCAACTACGCTCTCGATGATGTTCATTCCAATATTCATTAATGGCAACTTCTAGGAGAAAGCCTCCATATCGAATCGCAGTTCTTCACAAAGTAGTATCTCCAAGTTCGTTTAACTCGATTTTTTGCGACATCGATCGTAACTGCAGAATGCAAAGGCCAGTGGTTTGCTCAGATTACGTTCTCGCCCATGAAAGATACATCTGATATTATTTGTTTCTTCTCAGTCAGTACACAGTCGATCTGGTTCAAAGAATTTCCGTCTGGGCTTCTCCATGTCCACCGCGGCTTCAATTAAATGAAAATTCAGTGAGCTTTAATGAAATTTCAGGAAAACGGTGTTCATGACGTGAAGGTAGCTGCTTTTAGCGTTAGTTGTGAGGCGGTCTCCATGTTCATTTCTTTCTCGTTTTCCGCATTAGCCAATAGGTACCTGTGTCGTTCATTCTTTTCTCTACGACTTTGTTGAAATTTCCTTGAATAATCACGTAAGTAATCTTCTTCTCAGCTACGCCTTAAAATCCTCAAAGAACTGCTCGATCCTTTCATCTTTAACTTGTTTGGTTGGGCCGTAAGCTTGGGTCAGTTTTATTCTTCTTTTGTCCGTTGGTAGCAGTAAAACTGCTATACGATATAATAAGATGTGACAGCTCGGCATAAATGAAACAACTTTCCTATTATTAAGAACCCAACGACTCTGGTTTGAGTTCGGTTCTCGAAGGCCTTCCTGAGGAAAATTTACTCCTTATTGCTCCAATGCGCAACAAATTCGAGTCTCGCATACATTCCAATTATCTTCTACGGTTAAGTGATATAGACGCTTGTAAATGCGTCTGTCGATAACTTTCTTGCATT